TATTTTTATATTTATATAATTATATTATAATTTATAACTTAAGATATAACTTAAAAAAACTTCTGCTATATTTTTTGTATTTTAATTTTAAATCTTTTTTATTCATAATATAAAATATCTTTTTCCAGATTCTATTGAAGAGAAGATTATTTGCAACCAACTAGAAAATAATATCCTGCATAATTTGTTTCTATTTTCAAAGCCTATTTAAAAATAACAAAAATTCGTTTGTTTTTGTTTTAAACATATCTGCTATAAACGAATATTTTTTTACCTTTATATACTGCGTCTAGATAGGGCATCGTCATTACATCTTCGAATGTTAATTCTCCATTATTTTTTGTGAATAAGTTTCTTATTTCTTCACGAAGTCTATTCTGAATACTGTGATTTAAAGCTAGCTCATACAACGTACTAGATATTGTTGCAGTAGATGATTCATATCCGGCTATGAAAAACACCATCATTTGCGCAACAAAGAAATCATCTGTAAATTCTACGTAGAAATTTGAAATGATTATATTAATTATTTAATTTAAAATTAAAATGAGCATTTAATGTTTATGCGAATTCTAAAGTGATACGAAAAATCTGAATATATATTTTTTTAAATAAATGTATCTATGTTAAATAGAGACTGATAACAAATTTATCTTATTTATTTATTCCTATCTAGAATGAGCATCTAAAAAAACATATATTGTTAAAATTATTTAAAGTGATTACATACAACGAAATGGTGTAATTTTTTTATATAAATATATTTAAAGTAACAAGATATATTGACTAGCGACACACTATTTAATAGAATAGGCAACTTTACAAACATGAGAAAATGTAAAAAAGGCTTTTACATACCGGTTTTTTCCATCAACTTTTTTTGTTTAAGTTCCATAAATATACTGGCAATATCGTGCTTGAAGATGTCATGTTCTTTTCTGTAATTCACGATGTTTTTCACAAAGCGTTTAAAATGTTCTGTTATTTCACTATTATCAAACAAATAATAGCCGATTAAATCATATATTTTGTTATATATCACAAAATCCGGTAGCAATATCTTCAACATATTTTTCAATGTAGTTATGTCAGTGTACTTTTTTATATACTGTATAATTTCGCTGTCCAAATCTTCGATATTAGTTATGTCATAACCAAACATACAAGTAGTAGTATAGTCAACAACGAGTTTCGTAATAATTTTTTTGCAATCTACTTCTTCATTTTGCGATAACAGCGTATCCAACCAATTATTGAAAATCTCCGAACGTTGTAATAACAAAGGAAACATGTTTTTAAGTTTACTGGGTGTGAAAAACGGCGATAATCTTGCTCTTAATTGTAATGGAACGTCTCCTTTCATTAATAAAAGATTATGATACATGGGTTCAGCCTGCAGAAATAATTATAAATTTCTTATAATAGTTTTTAAAAAATCTTGCTTTCTTTTTTTATCAGAAAACCAATTACAAATAACAGTTTACTCAAGAACTATTTATTCAAAGAAATAATATTATAATGTCACTTCGGAAAAGTAAATTGTTCTTTCACATAGTCTTTTAAACGATTAAAATATTTATTTTATAATGGGAAGCTAATTATTTTATACACCGATTGTTTTACTTTGTGATCGAAAATCGTTATTTAAGACATTGATAAATTTTGTGTATCATTCATCAAATTGCCTAGACTTGACACTAATTAATATCCGAAAATAATGAAGATAAAAGATAATAATTGTAGAAGAGAATTTAAAGTAACTCAAATAATTATACCTTCTTGGAGTACTTAATACCTCGTCCTGAAAATACTACCGCGTTCGTCAAATTGTGCAAAAGGCTTAACTATATAACATTCCTTTCTGTTGCGCAGCTTTATATTACAATGTATTTATATATTGTGCAACTGCTGACACATAGTACTGATATGTTAAACCGTAAGCGATAAGCTAAAAACGAACATTTCTGTCAACTCTTACTTGATGAATAACAATACAAAGAATAGATAATATTGTCTTCTTATTAACCAGGATGCAAAGTAATTATTACCAAAATGAATATTTAAAATATTTTATTTTTCATATTGATTTCTTTCGATTACGTCATCACATTAATACATACACTAGGCACGATGAAACTATGAATTTTAGTAATTAAGTAATTAAACGAGAACAAGTATCAGTCTATGTAAACATTGTATCTTGTTCGAAGGGCCAGAGATAGAAATCGAGAATGCGTGTATTCGATGTACGAAATCAAAGTTTATTTCGGGTATTAAGAGTGTAACCGATGTATAGCTCGAGATTGAAATTTTGTTGACAAACAATGTAACAAACGATGCATCGTTAATTAGCTTACGATATTAGCGTAGCTTTTTTTGAACTTTTTATGAAAACAGCTGCAAATTGGCAATGCTAATTATCGTTTTTAACTATTGTTCGCCTTTAATCACAAAATTATTATCATTATTTGGATTATTACTACTATTACTACTACTATCAATACTACTATTACTCTATATATACTACTACTATTATTATTAATATTATCCAAGAAATTTATAATGTTTTTTGCCGGTGCTTGCATCTTAAGAACATACAGAAATTTTAATCATGCTGGCGCGATGCGTTCCGCTAACAACGAGCGTTAAACTGTTTCACTTATAATCTCCGGTCATTTTTCAAAAATACTTTCTCATGGATTTAATAAATGATTTTGCAGGATTTTTTTGGAAAATAATGCAGTACTTTGAAAGGTAAAATAATTTGAGGAAATTTGCGCGATATTGCAAACGCGGTTCGAGCGCAAGAGAAATGTTCTTTTAATAAACCTTTCAATCTCGTTTTCTTCAATTTTTCCATCTCTGTAACATGTTTTTATTATTAATATATGAATGTGTATTAGATCGGTGCAAGAGAGATATGTCATATTTTATGAAAGGAAATTTTTCTCGAAATACATAAATATAATTTCTATATTTCACTATATAAATTTTTATGTATTGAAATACACATAATTGAATATATTTTAGAAATAATTAATATCTGATTTAATCCTGCCTGAATTATCTGCCAATATTATTCATATGATAATTACTCGTATCTGAGTTTTAATTAAAACAATTAAATGCATAATGAAGTCAGACTAATCACTAAAAACTTTATACACAAGCAGTGAACAATTTCTGAGGATTATCTATTTTTTATTTAAATGCAATTAATGGCTGAGTGCAGTCGTAGTCGATGAAGTTGCAAAAAATACCAAAAGAAATTATTGTGAGCATTTCCGAGAGGATAAGAGTACTTAACGTGTTACAGCGAAAACGAAAAAACGGAAAAAGGGTGGCATAAAGAATAATACTGCGGGATGAAAGATGGAAGACCGCTAATGCGTATCCATATGGCGTTACAGATAAATGGATTAGTTAGTTACGGCACGGTACGAAAGCAAAAGAGCGCGGAGAGAAAATGCCGCAATGAAGGGTTAAGGAACGATGAAAAAAACGGAGAAAGAAAGGGGGTCGATGATTTGATGCGACGTAAATACAAACGCAGCTCGTTATCGCTCAAAATAAGTCCATTTATTCTCGCGATATCGAACAAACCTTCTCTCTTTATCTACAGATAACATGGTTAAATATTAATATCTCTTTAACGTCTAACTTAATTCAGAAAGGAATATTTGATTAAATCGATACAGTATTCTAACAATATATGACATACACAAAACACGCATCTTATCACATATCAGATCCTGTCAGAACTGATTGTACATCCTTATTCACGTTTTTCTCCATAATAGTTTCGACATTGATGTACTCAAGCATGTGCATCTCATAAAAATGTAAGTTTCATAAATTTATATAAAGGGAGCTAAAAATATAATTATAAAACAATAAATAGATGTTATGACACATATATATTAATTAATAAACTTTACTTTTCTTGAGAATAATAATTCTTACAAAAAATGGGTATAGAAATAAAAAGTAAAGAGTTGTAGAGTGTAGTTTTTCGTGAAAAACAGAAAATGGAAGTCATTTTTTATTGCAAATTAAACTTTGATTCATTATCTTTGAGATCAATCATCGTTTTTATTAAAAATTTAAAAATTGAGTTGGAATTTGAAAAGAAAAGAAAACCTTTGCCATTCGTATTTATTGTAAGCTTATCGTACATGCCTTGCATCAGTAATTGTATGATTAACATATCAGTAATATAGTACATGTTCAACAATGAAGGAAAGTATGAATCATAAGTATACAGAATGCTTTATATGAAAAACATAACTACATATGTAACGTTTCTTTTTCTGACTGCATAATTGATTACCGTATATATATACATTATATTTTATGTGCATACTGATGCATATTGTATCACTGACTAGCTAGCGTCTTTTCCTCGCGCGCTTCGCGCACTCGATATGTGATTGCGGATTTGTGAGGTTGGGCAAATATGGGTCAATTATGATTCATATCCTTAAAAACTCTTGACGATGTCTAGAAACGTACTGGTGAAGATTTCATCAAAATCGGTTGGGTAGTTACGTTAAATTAGAATATAGAGCGACATACTTTTTTCCGACTTCATGCACGTTATTTACCGCTCGACTCCTAGACGTTGCAGCGCGATGATATATAGTCTATGTTACTCAGGAAGATCTAAGCTATCCACTAGTGAAAGATTTTTTCAAATCGGTTCAGTAGTGGGTGGTTTCTGAGATTATTCCGAACAATGGAACAAACTTTACCTCTTTATAATATAGTGTACATAAGTCAATCATGCAATTACGGATATTAAGGACGTGCGATAAACTAAAAAAATGTTAAAAAAAGAAAAAATACTCCCAATTGCTGCCAACAAAAGTACAACATTAAAATAATTATAACATAAAAAAGGAAATGAAATAATTTAAATAAACTTATTTGTGTGATATCTTATTATACTTTACTTAATATTTAATAATAATATTTCCTTTTTTATGTTATAATTATTTTAATGTTGTATTTTTGTTGGGGGGCAGCAATTGGGAGTATTTTTTTTTTGAACATTGTTTTTTTTTTTTATTATTTCATTCTTATAAAAACTGTGTGCGTGTGTATACGTGCGTCTTTGCATACATGTGCATGTATGTAACCAGTAAACACTGTTATATTAATGTTATATAAGAGCAATATTAAGTAAGTTACTAAAATTCCCTATACGGATGCTCAGAACGAATCTTATTGGTGAATCGTTTTGCTTCTTAGATACACTTGCCAGCCAATGAGAGGACGCGTAGACGAGACCATATTGTTTTTCCACTTTTTATTAACAGCATAAATAACGATAATTATACGCTTTAAACCTTTCTTGATTAATAAGAAACTTATGAGCAAAAGATGATATCAAACTATGCTGTAGTTATCGAGAACTAAGACTACAACCGATCCGAGCTCGGTGAAACGCATACTCCCTCCATTTTTTGCCAACCTGCGGTTAGCAGCAGTCGGGAGTAAAAAATAGAGGTTTCAATTTAAAAAATTCAATATGACCTTGATATGATCGTAACAATGCCATCTAAGATCTAACTAATATTCCTATCTCTTTTCTCCCTTAGAACTAAACAACTTTTGTCTAAAAAGTTTCCTTCTAAAACTTACAGGTTTTGAGATATTTGCCTGTTAAGATTAAAAAGACTCACCCTGTATAATAGATTTTTAAAAAATCTTTTGCAATTAAAATTCCTTGATATTATGTTGATTATGTAATCTTTGTTATACAGGGTAGGCCATTTTAATGTATTCACTGAAATATCTTAAAATCTACAAGTGTAAGACAAAAGTGTTTTAGACAAAAGTTATATGGTTCAGAGAGGGACACATGATGAAAATATGGACTTGATCTTGAGTGACCTTTTCAAGGCCAAGTCAATGTGATCGATGTTTTCTTAAATGGAACCCCCCATTTTTTATTGCATATTCTTGTAGCTTATCTCGAAAGCTTTTCAAAACACTATAATAAAGTATTTTTTCATTAAGTACTTTTTGAGTTATTTTATATTTTAATCTGACATATTTTGATATAAAAAATAAAATATCTCGTAAAATATTCAGTTTTCGATAATCTTACAGTAATACTTTTCAGATTAAAATATAAAATAACTCAAAAAGTACTTAATTAAAAAATACTTTATTATAGAGTTTTGAAAAGCTCTTGAGACAAGCTACAAGAATATGCAATAAAAAATGGGGAGTTCCATTTAAGAAAACATCGATCACATTGACTTGGCCTTGAAAAGGTCACTCAAGGTCAAGTCCATATTTTCATCGTGTGTCCCTCTCTGAACCATACAACTTTTGTCTAAAACACTTTTGTCTTAAACTTATAGATTTTAAGATATTTTAGTGGATACATTAAAATGGCCTACCCTGTATATACTCTATATACACATATGTGCTATCTTTTTGTCTGGAAGTGTGTATACAAGATCTGTTTTTAAACAAAATTCTTGTGTGTGTTGTAATCATGATCTTAATGGCAAATAAAAGTAATACTATTTTATATTCTACAAAAATGACACTAAATAGTACGTTATAAAATTTTTCTTGCGATCTCGATATGTAAGAGTATCTTTTTTCGGAAATCACAAAGAGAGAGAATTGACATACTTATTATGCCATGATAGGCAGAATTTTTTATGCAGGGGATATTACATTTACGAGAACTTCCAGCTCGTTGGCCTCTTATGTGAATGTTCCCTCGCAGAATTTTTTCATCCTTTTAAAAGGTAATAAAAGCGTCTTTAAATAGCATTCCTTCTTTTTCCCTCTTTTTATTCGTGAGATTTAGAATGGCGTGCGTTATGTTTTTATATGTATAATAATTTATATATAAAATCACTATGTATGATATTTTATTTTACTCAAAAACGATATCTTTTTAACGATATTAAACGTGCATTAAATATATATCCTATACAATTTTTTGTATACTATTTTATGAAAAATGTCTATAACATGTTTTGTGAACAAAATAATATAAATGTATGCATATATTATATAATGTAGGCAAGACGTATGAAAAAAATTGGAATGAAAAAATAATATTCGCACACACATAGAAAGAGAGAGATAGCATAATGATCCCTCTTGAATATATAAATTCCTCTTGTAGTCTCATTTTTCAAAAATCTATATGATGTTTGATAATATTAACAATAATAGATTTATATTATAAATGTTTTTTGTGTTTTTTTTCAGGATCTTTTCAGACTTGAGTTGCCCTTTTAGAAATAAATATTTAGTATTTATCATCCCCTATATATATCAATTCTGATAGGGATCCGCATTATGACACATTTGAGATAAGTATACTATTTTCAATATTATTTTTTTTTTAAATACAAATGTTACATATATGCTAAATGTTAGATGTAAATCAATTAATAGATATTTTTAAATGTCTTTATTTATTTTTCATATTGTTTTCATGGGATATAGGCACACATATAGTCACCCCATTTAATTCGAGTTATATCTTACGAAGATTGATCGAGTACTAAGAAAAATTGCTACGAGAACGTGATATTCCGTAATAGCTTTACTTAATACTTATCGGGAAATATACTAATGGATCCGCTTTTAATGTACTTTCGAATAAAACGAGATACGCTTTGGATAATCGCATGTACAAATTGCAAAATAATATTTGCTGACGTTTGAAAACAATTAGAAAACCTTGATGTATTTTAAATTGGGAATTATTAGATTTGACAGATCATTCCGTTATTGGAATTCCGTCATTGATAAATTACCGCGAGTCGAAAGCGAGCGACGCGAGGAAAGGAAAACGATTTTTTTTTAATGATAGACGTAGGGGAAAAGGTGTCTCCTCCCTCCCGTTACGTCGCTGTTTACAGCGTGAGGGTCGCGTGCAAACTGTCACTGCGAACGGTCTATCGTGACGCGCATCCTCCAGAGAGCTCCCGCTACTCTTCTCCCACTCGCGTTCCTCTTCTCGTTCCACCCTATAAGTATAGAAACCTAAGGAGTTTTCATTCTCGACCTAAAAAGTATTTAATTACGTCTGTCTTTTAAATATGCTAACAATAAGTATAAATCGGTTATAATTGCTGTTGCTTTTTCTTGTCCACTGTCCATTGTCCGTACTTGGAAGTTTCAATGGCTCTTATGCCATTTGCAATTTTGTATAAATATATTTATTAAGAATTTTATCTTTTCTCTAACGTTCTTATTGTGGTTTACACACTGTACATAGAAATATTTAGCTACTATATCGCGTATAATTTTTTAAATAGGATAAAAGTTATCTGTCATCTTCCGAAGATACTTAATTTTACGCGAGATTTTCTTTTTTTTTATTTTATTATTTATTAATCCGTGCCTTAACATATACATATATATATATATATATATATTGTTTATATAAAAGAAAAAAAAAAGAGATAATTGTTCCCTTATAATTTTTCTCTCACCTATTTTATTATGATATTGGAGGGTTCTTGCGCGCGCGATTCTTCTTCATCCCCTTTTAGTACGGTTTGTGGACATAGAATATCCGATTTATACGCATCATCGAGCTTCACCTCGCTCTCGTTTACCCCGCGGAAAATTGAATACTATCCTCCTTCGTCTCTCGATATTTCAAAGCGTCTCATCGTCACACTGATCCAGTCTCTCTCCGTGTGGATACAGCGATATACTTTTATAGCAATCCGCTCGACGTTGAATAATCCGCGTCCAGATATCGAGACGATTCGTCGCATTCATGATGCTGGCACTGTGATCGGAATAAAAACCGGCAAACTGCGATAATCACTTTTAAAATCTCGTCTGGAAATCTCGGTTTCTATCGCACAAATCAATCTTCCCTTTAAAAACTCGCTGTTTTTTTTCACATCCATCGCATGTACAAATTGCAAAATAATATTTGCTGACGTTTGAAAACAATTAGAAAACCTTGATGTATTTTAAATTGGGAATTATTAGATTTGACAGATCATTCCGTTATTGGAATTCCGTCATTGATAAATTACCGCGAGTCGAAAGCGAGCGACGCGAGGAAAGGAAAACGATTTTTTTTTAATGATAGACGTAGGGGAAAAGGTGTCTCCTCCCTCCCGTTACGTCGCTGTTTACAGCGTGAGGGTCGCGTGCAAACTGTCACTGCGAACGGTCTATCGTGACGCGCATCCTCCAGAGAGCTCCCGCTACTCTTCTCCCACTCGCGTTCCTCTTCTCGTTCCACCCTATAAGTATAGAAACCTAAGGAGTTTTCATTCTCGACCTAAAAAGTATTTAATTACGTCTGTCTTTTAAATATGCTAACAATAAGTATAAATCGGTTATAATTGCTGTTGCTTTTTCTTGTCCACTGTCCATTGTCCGTACTTGGAAGTTTCAATGGCTCTTATGCCATTTGCAATTTTGTATAAATATATTTATTAAGAATTTTATCTTTTCTCTAACGTTCTTATTGTGGTTTACACACTGTACATAGAAATATTTAGCTACTATATCGCGTATAATTTTTTAAATAGGATAAAAGTTATCTGTCATCTTCCGAAGATACTTAATTTTACGCGAGATTAAAATTAATCTTTTTAACTATCTGAAAATGAATGGTATTGAAATATAATTATCTATGAGAGTGATTATTTCATTCTTAAGAAGGCATACCTATTTGAAACCTCGAAAAATGAGTACATTTTCTACATTTTCTTGCAGCGCAAGGACTTGATAAAAATTTTTAATTTTTTTACGATATTAATACAATATTATTAACCACCTAAATAAAAATTTTCAGCTTAAAAAATTTTTTTTTTAAGTTATGGGAATATTTGCGGAGCTCGTCCAAATTTTAGATGGCTGCACGATGTGCGTGAAAACGTTCGTAAATCATATCCGAAATCAAAAATACAAGCTTTTTTTTATTAAACATATTAATAGCTATCTGCTATCCAAGCGTTTTTTCAAAATTTCAAAAAATAAAAAAATGGCAGCGTGTTGAAAAGAAGTTTCGGTTTTTTTGAAAAAAAGTCCATCTTTTTTTTTATAACAAAGAAATGGAAAATTGGATTAAAAAAAGGCTTCGTTGGAGCAGATGCGGAATCTTATTAGAAACTCGCATGTAAAATTGAAGTCAATCCGTTGAACGTAGCTCGAGTTTTCATGCACACCGTGCATGAAACGTGTAAGAGAATTAAAAATTTTTATCAAGTTGCGCTGCAAAAAAATATAAAAATATAAAAATGTATTCATTTTTCGAGATTTTAAACGGGTATGCTCCCTTAAAATATTATTTGCGTATTTTAAAGCAACGTATCAGTAACATGCATAAAAAATAAAATACCTTAATTATTTAAACATAACATAAATGGAATAATGAATATTCCTTATTAAGTACATGTTATATTTGTTGTAGCTTTTCATTAAATAGAACGATATTGAGATTCCTCCGAAACTTGCTACGCTTCAATTTCCTCGACGCGATAATATTGTTGCACAAGCGATGTTGAGGGTTCTCCTTATCCTTCATGATTTGTCGACGAGGTTCTCTGTCGACGAATATCACCTGTCATTCATTTAATGGAGTGGTTTCCTCCCTTTCGTCACAATTTTCGGCCTGTGCTTTCACCGTATAACGTTTCTCCTTGATAGAATTGAATTTCTCGGATGAAGTTTCCAATTAAATGTGTCTCTAGAGAGTAGGATGCTGAGATTTGGATTATATGTGATCGAGTATCAAGGAAACGAAAAACTGGAAAATTATTAGTTACATGGTATATAAGGCATAATGTTAGAAGATAGATTTCAGGAGTGAGATTTTACACACGATAAAGCAGAGAAAAAGATAAATGTTTAATATTCTGGAGCATCTCGCTAGGATTCATAAATGAAGTTTTTAGAAGATAAAAGATGGATCTTACCAAAAAAAAGATTACGCGATAGAGACAAGTTACGTCAATTGCTGAACAATCGCGACAATTAACGGCAGCTGTGTCAGTAAACCATGCGCATATTCACATGTACTCGCATACATACATACATACGCACGACAGAAATAATATGCTTCGTTAGTTGTGTCTGACGCACGAAGCGTATAAATCGCGCTCGCAAATTATTAACGATGGCTGCCGAGATACGCGGTGAATCCGTAACGAGATCACGAAAGTATGACACGGGCGTACGCACGTTCCCGGTATAAAAAGAAAAACGTTTTCTTTCGACCCGCGTTTATTATTTAAGACGGAGAACGGGAGAAAAATTCCCCCCATAGGAATAATTCATGAATTATAAGCTCGATTTATCACGTCGATGCGTTGCGCGACCTCCTTTCCTCGATCGTTAAAAACGTCAATCCTCAGCATCCGAAGCCATATCGGAAGACGCATTAAATTAACAATCCCTCGTTGTGGGAAATTGCATTTCATATGCAATATTCACAACGTATACTTATTTCTCCTCTTTTCTCGGAATTACATCTTAAAGAAAGAAATCTGACAGAATATCTGACAGTGCACTTGAAAGGATTATAGGAATTTAGCAAATTGAAAAAGATACTCAAATTTTTTTAGACAAATAGAAAAATAATGTTTCGTAGTTAAAAAATATGTATTTTTAGTAATAAAATTAAAAAAAATGCAAAAGATATTGAAACAATAGTGATATTTTGTTTATCAAAAATAATATTTTTTATTTTAGATAATTATCGAAGTTGAATCTTATTCACGTATTTATTTAGAATTTTAATCTTTTTTGTTATTTTTCATATTGAGTTTATTATTAAAAATATATTTTTTTCACAGAAAAAAACATTTGTTTATTTGTTTGAATAAAAATTTTACACAATGTTAAAAAGTACTCTATTTTCGATTTGTTAGACTCTTATAATCCTTTAAATATGTAACGATATTTCCTCTGTTATTCGATTACAATCCGTTTATCGATTCAGACAAAACAGATTACCGTGAGAGAGAAAGATAAAAAGAGAAAGTATAATCTGGTAAAATATTTCTTATTTCTTAAAAGATAAGTACTACTACTTTTTATTACAGAAATTCAGTTTTTGTCATGCGTTATGTCGACGTAAACGATTAAAAAATTAATAATCGTTCGCAGAATGTGTGCACCGAAATATCTAAGATGGACTAAGAGCCTCCTTCAGAATATTACTGAATTCCATCAGTTCCTTCCTCAGCTTTTGCATGTCCGTCTCCTCTACTCTCCTTTCGTATTGACGAAGATAACGTTGCACCAATTGCGCCATAACTTCTGCGAATCGCTCGTCTTTCTTCTCTTCTAGATCTTCCTGCGGCGAAATATTAAACAGATAAATGGAAGTATACAAGCTTCCGCTTTTCTTTATCGATCGCAGATCGATCGTGACACTTATAGATATTGGAAAATTGTGAAAATTTTTTTCGAGGTGAATGCTACAAAAAAAAAAAAAGAAAAATAAATTCCTCGACACGAAATGCAGAACGTGCTTCCGCTCTTCGTGCTGGAAATACGATAATTGATGTTTGGTTTAATAACGCGACGCGTTAAATCAATATTGAAGTCCCGAGTGACAGTATACTGACTATATAGCAACAATTCACGAAGTCCCATCGTGCTCGTTTACCGGGCGGTGGCTTAAACAATATTTTTATGAACTCGATCACCGGCCGCAGCCCCGTGAATATCGAGAAGATGCAGAACGGTGGTGGAAGTGTCGTCGTAAGCATGAAATCGACGTAGGCCTGAAAAAAAACGAAACGATATTCGTGCACGTGATATTGATATTTGTAGATATCTTCTCCTCATCTCAGCGAGATTCATCATTAAGACGAAAAAATTCGTTTAATTTAATTTAAATGGCGTTCAAGAATTTTCTTACCTCAGTTCGGCCGAAGATCCACTCCACGTTAACGTTATCAGTCACTCTGGTGAAGGTATTCGCCATACATGCGATTAGCATATTCAAAACAACTACCACGGAGATGAATTGAAAACCTGACGAACAGATTAGCAAAATAATTTATCGATAGGACGATTTTTTTTTATATGGACCGTCGATAGTTACCAACGAAACAGCTTACAATTATTACTCACTGGCGAAAGCGAGATAACCGATCAATTCGGTAAAGCTATGCTCATTGATTATCGTCTCCGACTCCCTCTCACCCGGAAGATTCTCGATGATCACGTCAGCACTTTCCACTGGGCTCATGCAAAAAACAGCCCAGAAAAGGGTCTTCAGGGTGGACTTGAAATCGACGAAAGAATTCTCCTGCTCCGTCTTCAATTTCGATTCGTCGTCGGTCTGTACCATTCCGTTATAATATTGATAGAGATGGCACAACCCTTAGAGAAAAAAACCATAAATGAAAAATCCATAAATGTCGGATTATCGAGAAAAAAAAAAAAAATATAAAATCGTGCGAAAAATGTTCTCGAATTTTAGTGATTCATGGAATATACATCTCAACTAATTTTCTTATCTTAAAAAGCTATAAAATTTTTAAATGTAAATCATTAAATAAAACATTCAAGATCATTTGCCAATCCATAAAAAATTTTTTTACTCGATTCAACGCATGCCGTGTGTTTTACCGACTGTGAAGGCTATAACGATGATTCCGAATATCGTGATAAAGTGACTGACGTCCCTAATCATTTTGACAAGGGAAAGCTGTAGAGGTCCGAGATCGTAGTCCAGTTGACAGATGAACAATAGTTTAAAGAACGCCATGATCGTCGCGAGACAAAAGATCCCCTCCGCTATCAAAGTCGGATCGTACTTGTGCCAGTACTTTCTTTCTAAATCACGTTGACCGTTCATTCTAACGTCCAACGCGGCAACTATCCAGAAGAGAAACGTCAGAATGAACAGCACGAGCATAACTAGCTCGTACCTGTATTATACAGCAG